CCTATGGCCCAGAAGCAGCTAGATCCAACCCTGGGCCCTTTTTGTTCATAAGTTATAATGGTATAACCACAGGTCCCACCCTCTTGGCACTTTGCCAATATGGACTGACACAATTGGGTCATGAGAGTGCAGCATATAATGCACATCTGTGTGCAACAAGGACTGACCAAAAGAGGTCCTATGTCATCTTAAGGCCGAAGGCTGAAGGAAATAGGACCCGGTGCCTGAGGAGAGATGCACAAGTGACTGCATCATGTCCGTCCATAGTACGTACCCCTCCGTCCAAAATATTAAACGTGAAAAAAAGGAGGGGGGTTTAACCAGCTGAAATATTTGGGTATATTGCCCAACCGGACACTAGTCCTCTGGAATTCACATGTGTACATTGCCTCACCATGCATCCATTTTACACGGATCCAAGTTTCGTGCTCTAGCCTATATTGGACTTGGTCCACATGACTGAGTTTCAGCCAACCAGGATAAAGAATCATGCAGCAAGAGATGTGTTATAACCCTCATATCTAGTATGACAACTTCCTGTAGATCCAAGAGTGTTTTTTTTTAAGGTAGGCAGGTTGGAAGAGGCCCTGAACTACTTTGAGAAGGTCAAAACCTTTTCCTCGATCCTCCTGTGTAAAATAATCTCACCAGGCCTCCTTCTACTATTTCCTTGAAGGCATCTGGCCAGCACTCCTCCACCGCCGAAGAAGCCGAGGTCAAACCGCTGAATGTTGAATACATCAAGTTGGACCTGTCCTCGCTACAGTCCACCATGGACTTCATTCGGGAGACCAAGCAGAGGATGCAGTCGCTGAACGTCCTGGTGTGTAACGCCGGCATCGCCTTTGTCCAACAAGGTTCAGTATTTCACAATAGCAAGGTCATTAAAGAACAGAGGACATGTGTGAGTCGGTGGACACCTATGTTGATAGGGCGGACCTTGCCCCAATGTATCGCAGTTTGTGACCTCTGATATGCTGCATTTTGGGGATTCCCTGTTTGAATATCAAATTTACTCTTTGCCAGGAGCAATCATGGAAGTCAACTGAGGCAACTTGAAAATGTCTCATATTTTTTAGAACATAGTTGACATTTGAATAAAAATAAATGTGTTAGCTCTTTCCGACAAGTGATTTCCATTTTCAGAGGGCATCATAATAATATCTAGATAATATGTGTTTGTCTCCTCTAGAGGCACTCTGATATTTTTTGTCTGGATTTGAGGGGCAGCATATGTAATATTTAAAAAAATATTTAAAAATAAATAAAATTTGTTGGTTACACTAAATAACTTTGTTTCATTAATTTGTCATTTTTCAATGCTACAGGATACACAGAAGATAATTATGAGCTTCACTTCCAAGTGAACTATCTATCGCATTTCCTGATTGCACTGCATCTCATGCCCCTGCTGCGTGCTGGTGCTCCCGACTCCCGCATTGTGTTCCTGTCATCAGTCGCACACAGCAGTGGGAAACTAGACCTGGATAACATGCAGTGCCGCAAATCCTACAGTCGGTATGGAGCCTATGCATCTTCCAAGGCCTACGTGGTGAGATTTCCTGTTACTATTCTCAGTGAAGAGGGCTAGAGGAGAATAAAAAGGGCCCATTGGATTCAGATATTTCACCGCCTCTACCACCCACCACCTCAAAATGGTAGTGAAATGGTATTATGTGCATCATCAGGTCAGAATGTGATTGCAGTTCCTTGTCCAAATAGTACATTTGCACCCAACTTTCATTATGAAATCAATGTCGTGTTAATTAAAGGTCATGGCTGCATGCCTACTTGCTCGGAGGCTGAAGGGTACTGGTGTGAGCACTTTTGCAGTTGATCCTGGAGTGGTCAACACAGATATCCAACGTAACTTCAGTGACTGGAGACTGCTGAGCTTTTTTATGGGGGCTTACAGTAAAATGGGTGAGCTCATGGGATGAGATATTTATGTATAGGCTTAATTTTTGTAATTAACAATTTTAGTCATGTGAAGTCCACGTCTAAGAAGCAGCAACCCACTGGTGGTCATATCAACACTGTTTCAAACTTCAGGTTTACGTGCATGAAGCAGCGTGGTTTTTGCCAAAACATTTTGAATTTTCCATCACTTAAGAGAAGTATGCTCAGGAAGCCCACTGAATGTATAGCACGGATTGCCCTTCTCTGTTCATTATAGGCATGATGCGTACACCAAAGAAGGGGGCAGCGACTAGTGTTGTGGCCTGCATCCAGCCAAGCCTTTCTGGCAGAACTGCAGTGTTCATGAAAAACTGTCAACCTGCTAATCCAGCAAGCTTCTGTCGGTAAGGCTTCTAAAAATGTTTACTTTTAAGGTTGACGAAACAGTTTAATGTAACCAAAAAATTGTAAAGAGAAAAGTGGATCAGAGGAGTCATTTCATTTTTATCTACCTTGACCAATTTGAATGCAAAAGCTAACCGATGATCCCAACTGATTGGACTTCCTTGATTTTTGACTCTTGGGTCCTCTTGGTGTGTAATCAAATTAGCTTCCTGACCCACAGGTTCCTTGTCCTCTAACCCATCAGCATTATTGCCATGTGGGTCATGAATGACCCTTGGTGATCCATGAGATCGATGAGGCTTTTCCACCTGCAGTCTGTCCTTTGCCCTTCTATACAACATTCGGAGGGCAAAATTTGGCATTCTGAGCCTTCATCTTTGGATTGCCCCCTCTGGGATGATAGGCATTGCAGGGGGGCAAGGGGGGTCAAGTGCCCCCACCCCTGGAAATAAAATTGGGGGGAAAATGTAGGGATTGGAGGGGGGCAAGAGAAACAGAGATGAAGGGAATGAAATTAGAGAGGGAAATTAGATGAGTACGCTGTCGGAGTAAGGAAGTGGTCAAGCTTTCATCAGAAGTGGCTCTCACTTCATCAGGACTGAAGTTAAGGAGCAGCAACTTGGACTTAAATACTATGGAGGGACGTCACGAACAAAGTCAATGTTGTAGATGTGATTGTAACCAGTTATTATGACAGACGCGGTAGAGATTGGTTTTGTTTGATTTGCTCTGTTGACCTATTGGCTATCCCACATGTGGCTAACGTCCTTGCCATCCATTCTGTTGATTGTGGAAGCCTCGGTACTCTTTATCTCAAGCAATTCTCTGATCAATCTCATCCCTTGATGGCTGACCCTGGCCAAACACTTACATTCGTCCCAGAGAGGTGTGTTGTGTGTTCTTGCATGTAGGTTTGGCCAGTGCGGATTCTTTTACCCTGTGCTGATCAGTAGCTCGTATGTGCTCCGATACCCATGTCTTCAGGGGACGCTTGGTTTGCCCTACGTACTGGGCTCTGCAGCTACATGTACATGGGAGGAAAATCTTCAAAATTGCTTGAAAAAACCTTAAAAATTGACCTCGGCCCACTTTGAATGGTATACATGTATCAGTTTGCAGCTGATAAGTGCTTCGCCCTCCCCCAAAATTCCTGGTAATGCCCATGCTAGGGTCCTTAATTTCCAACTCCAGGCCTTTGACTCGGGAGTCTTCGTTTTTGCATTGATTCCTTTGGTTTCTGATTCAAGAGTCTTTCATGTGGTTGTTTTTTTTTAGTGATGAGGCAAATCAGGAGAAGCTTTGGAATTACACTCTTGGATGTCTCAGTCAGTTCATCAATGATGATGCCCTCAAAGAAGCCTTCCCGTTTGCCGAGCCAGATTTGCTAGTCATTCCCAAGAACACGGAGACAGTCGAAGAGCAGATTGCAGATGAGTTGGGGAAACAAGAAGGGAGCCCAGATGGCAAGGAGGGATGTCAGCCCAGAGGAGGTGAGGCATCTTTTGCGAGCAAAAAGGAAGAGACAGAGCCTGAGAAGGAACACCCATCTGAAGCTGCAGAGGTAGCCTCAGAAACCGTCCAGATAACACAAGAAGCGAATGGATATAGTTCAGGAGAAAAGATGCGTGGCGATGCACCCGAAGATGAGGAAAAGCCCACCAGATGCGAGGTAGCGGGAGAGGAGCGATCCGAGAAAGAACCCTCGTCTGAAGGTGCAGAGAAAACCTCTGAAACCATCCACATAATGCAAGAAGGGAATGGAGATGCTTCAGGGGTAAAGATGCAGGGAGATGCACCTGAAGATAAGGAAAAAGAGTAGGAGGCATCTTGAAAAGGAAGATGAGAGGAACTGGGCAAGGATAAGTCGGGTTACAATTGATAATTTAGTAAAAGCCTCCAAGAGGAAAGCTCTCTTCAGGCCTGCAACTTTTCCTCGGATCAGCTGATTGCCTCGTTTTTCACTTCACACTCATACCAATGAAAAATTGTAAAACACGGAACAAAGTCTTGTAAAGATTGGAATCTCCTCATTTTTGTTAAAGTCCAAAAGTTGCATGCCTGTCTCTTGGAAAGAAACTCATTGATTTCTTAAACTAGTATTTAACTATCTGACTAGATTCTACGAATTGTATCTCAATTAATCACTTGCTGCCGGGTAGATTTTTCTTGAGCAAGATAAGATGCCGGGTCCTTTTCAAGATTTTCCGTTTTCAAAATTCTTCAAAAATGCATCATTTCATTTAATGGCCGTTAATGCCTACATGAAGGACTCTTTGGGCACTACTCTAAAGATGACAGTTAACCTTCATTAGCGTCCTGATGAAAACAGACATTACATGAGCGATAAAAATGCCGCAGGTTGCCATTGATTCTACATTGTGCGAGATTCCGTCCTGTAGTCGAAGGCCTTTGACTTCAAAGTGATACTGGCAACTTGCAACTCATTTTGTTAGGTTGTTTTGTAGGTTAAGTATATTGCATTTGTCATCTTCTGTGAAATTAGAGTAACAATTAATTTCTTAATGTATCCTCTTTTGTATTGACTTGATTTGGCAAACATTTTCGCAGCATTTTAGTTTTACTGAGTGATTCCAGCTTAAAGTTCAAACTCAAGCATGCAGTTTACATCAATTGTAAAAATCATGCTGTAAGATTTTCAGAATAATTTCTACGTTGTGTCATTCTGGAAGCATGTTGCCGTTGCTAAATGTAAAGGAGACATAATCATGTATTTTCGTTTTGAACACATCATGTACGTGTGTGTTCACCTGATGAATTTGGGAGTATTTCTAAATGCCAAAAATCATATCCAGTACTTACTCTTGCTTTTTGCAGTATACTCTTACAGTAAAGTGATTTATGCCACAGCATTCAGATAAGTTTGAAATATATTGATTTTTATACTGAAATTTGTGTTTAAATGCAATGGTAATCAGGAATAGTGTTCACATTTCTTTTTTTTTCTGGTAAGGAGTAAATTTTGTGATGTCTTTCAGTTTTACTTCAGGCGAAATTTTTTTGATCTTTAAGTAACTGCAGATGTGCCTTTTTGGAGTAATTTTACAGTTTTTGATCCTTCTGGAATTCCAATTCCAATTTAAATTCTGAAATACGCTGTTAAATGTGTTTTACTGTTATCTTTGTATGCAAAATATACATTGTAAACGCATTGAAAGAGTTGCGCTTTGAGGGGATGTAGATGTGTCAAGTGCCTGCATCAAAATCAATTTCCCATGTAACAGTGCCATTGCCAGATATTATTGTGTATAAATCTACTCACATCACCTGAGTCATTTCCTCCAGAAAAGTTCTTTGTATGAACTGAATAAATTGGTCAAGTGCTTCATTTTCAGTTGCTTCAAGGATATTTTGTTTCATTCCTTCAAGAATTTTGCTGTGTTGTATTAGAGTCCATCACAAGTCCTTTCACAAGTCCCTTCACAGTACGAGTCATAAGTAACCCTGCGAACAATGACAGAAGAACAGTTCTGCCTCAGTTCATTTGAGTAGCGTGTGAATTGGCTTAAGAGTGTACCACTTGTGATGAACTTGCAGGGACTCGTGGTCGACTCGGATTATATACAGTATGCAGTAATGGACTGCGCTGTCTGGGGACAGATCTTGCCCGGATGGAGGACATCAGCTTATCTGAATGCAGTTGGCCTGTGACCGATCAGCCTGATGCACATGGATCCGACATGTCTGTGTACGTCAAGCACCAAGTAGTTGCGGTGACTGTCAGTCGGCCCTCCTTACATCTCCGCTTCTCCTGAAGGGCCAAGTATGCAACAAACTAATTTTGCCTACCAAATGCAGTGATATATAAGTGGGTATCGAACACTAACAAACATGACATCCTCCAATAGCAAAGTTTGCCGACAGTGGGTAAAGTACTTGGACTAATGATGTGCCGAGTACTACACTGAATAGGACCCCATGTTTATTGACGTGTAATACCCAGACTACTGTAGGTCACATTACGTTATTGCTGGGCGCAATCGGTCTATACTTGCAGGAGATGTGGATGTTTCATGCAGTGCTGTAGTCAGGTCCATCATGAGGCCGAAACAAGACCCACAGTCTGAATTCAATTCACATGCTATTCTAATGAACTGCACCTTAAAGCATTCCTTTGTCACTGTTCACCGTTACTTGGTAACTGGTCCTGGCCACAACAGGTTGATGGCCTACTCGTGAGAGAGAGTGAAGTACAAAAGCATGTTTACAAACAATGTTTAAACACAGAATGCGCATGAACTATTTCATCTTTCCACAAAAAAACAAACCTCGACTTCGGCACAACAGAAATGGCATCCTCACAAAGTAGTAAGCAGTTTCACAGCCAATGGTGACTCCATCGTACCAAGACAAACCAACTCCTTTTCTTTCGCATGTCATCTCTGATTTCCATGAGATTATGAATTAATCCCTCCCTTAAAGGCAAACTAGGGTTCCAATAAGCCTTTTGCGAGTTAACTTAGACCAAAATCTCGTACACTGAGTTCTTTATAATTCATGCTAACATAACATCTTGAATTCTCCATTCTAAAACCAATGTTGCTATACCTCGTGATACCTCATTGCTTTACCTCGGGGCAAGCTTTTGCTTAGTTATATAGGAGACTCCTTGCAACAATACACAGTTCTCAATGGATAAGAAGGGCTCAAAGGAACCAGTCCATTCCAGAGATGGTGGTCGCTATGCGCAAGCTTGCCGTGAATCACGAAGTATAGGCAAGTGTCTTTAGTCTGGGGAATTCAAATTGTTATGTTTATGTGCAATCAGATAACTCAGTGTACCAGATTTATTCAAATTTAACTTGCAAATGGCTTATTCAAAACCACCTTTGGAGATTTGACAAAAACTAACAGGGATAACTTTACAAATTAATCGACATTGCAAGCCATGTTTCATTCAGGGATCCCATTCAGGTCTTTTATTCCTGTTGTTATGCGTTTGAGATTCTTTTTCTTTACACATTTCAATACAGCCTTGATCAGTTCAGGCAGAATACACGATCCACCCAAAACAAAATCAGGCCGAATAATAATGTGCTACATAATGTACTGACGTACCTCACGTCAAGACAAGTCTGGTACATCAACACTTTGAAAAAAAAAAACACAACCAAAGAAAAAAACTTCAGTGATTGATTTCGATATCATTGGGTAAATCTTGCCGGACAATGCCCCTCAACGCCTCGGGAGAGGCGGGCGTTGCCACACCTCAGTGGCCTAGTCGCACTCCTCTAGGCCTGGTACTGCTTCCAGCGTGACAGGGGACCATGGTTGGGCAGGTACTGCACGCTCACACCGTCTGGGATCAGGCGGCCCTCGCTGCGCAGCTCCTCGTACCTCTCCCGGGTGAACTTGGTGAAACCCCAGTTCTCAGAGGTGAAGATCTGTTGAGACAAAGCAAAAGTTTAGGAGGGGGGGAGGGGAGATGCTGCAAATAAGGAAAAAATCCTCGAAACGTCCAACTGAGGGGGAAATGTAACAATAAAAAACTAATGACAGTTTTCCAGGGTTGTCACATATAATGAAGAAGTTCTTTTAAAAATAGCTATGCTTAACCTTAACAGTCCTCAATCCTCCAACAGGTGAAGGATTGAGGACTGCTAGGGTTAATATGTAAATCTTGCACAAGTACAAGTCAAAAACATTGCCAAGCCAAGTAATTAACCCCCCCCCCCAAATTTCTTGGTCAGAAATCTTGAAATCTGCAAGAGTTCAGAAAGATTTACTCCCCTCAAATATCAAAGCAGCACTTTCAAGGGGTGTGAGTGGAACATTAAAAAAACAGCTGAAAATAGCTGAAATCGTAAGCACGAAGCATATACGGTGTGGGGCCCGGGGCCAAACCTTGAAATGTAGATGCTCTGTGATGCATTTTACAGCCTCCTGGTGCAACCATTGGCCTTTTTTTTTTGTCATTTAGGCTGTGCATATTTTTAATTTTACTTTTTCTTCATGTTTGGTTGAAATTCCCAGGTTAAAATGAACTAAGTAAATATGGAGGCTTGTGAGTTGGCTCTTTTCCCTCCTGATCTAACCACGTTTTCAAAATTTCTATCGTTTAATGCTCATAGGACGCCCCAGGCTTTTGGATTTTCTGGGCATGGACTGTGTTTTCTCCTTGTCACATCTACAGCGAATTCCATTCACATCCATTTCTGTGGATTTGTAACTTGAGGATCGGCCTTATCAAAGGCTGTATCCACGTCAGAACTTGTTTAGACGACTGTCCATTTGTATGTTTTGATCAGTTTATGTCCCAAAAATTGTTTGAAAGCCCGTACAAAACGATGCAAAACCGTGAGATAATACAAGGCACAAGAGCTTTGCCTACCCCACGCCAGTTGTCATGAGTTGCTGCGAAAGCAAAAATTTACTGCACATGTACACTCGTATACATTACGATGCTTTCCTCCAGTACTGTTCGGTGTTGGAAAGAGGATGTGCTAAGTTTGGCCTGGCCTTTGTGTCGATAGAAAACGAAAAAAATGAAAAATCAGCGCTTGCGCAGAAAGAAAAATGAGGAAAATCTGGCCCGTCGATGGCAAAATAGCGGGGAATGGCATGTTTAACAAAAAAGGGGAAATCCGCTAAAAAGCGGAGATTTCACACCCCTGCACTTTGATTACAAAACATCTCAGACTGAAACAAAGCTAAGGTCCTGCAGCAAGAGGTTGGATCAAGTCTCAGAATGAGAGGTTGTCACACTGGCTGGTTGTTAAGAACATGAAGCACAAGAAAACTGTACGTCTGTAGGTACTCTCCATGTACTAACATTCCAACTGGTTTACTGATAATAAAATCAATGAAATGATGCACCTCACACAGGAATCTGCACACGCTTGAAACCTTTCACTGCCCTCTTCTAGTCTGATGATGTCTTCTGCATCGTATTTCAAATACAAAAAGTACACTTGATGTACATCCCAAGGGTTTCGTTCCAACATTCACAAACAGGTCTTGGGTCATACCTTTTGTCTGCCTGGGAACTTGAACTTGGCGCGGCGGAAGGCCTCAATGGCGAAGGCCTTGTTGCTGTCCTTGGTCCTGATGGACATGATGGTCTGGCCGATGTGGACGCGAGCCACGGTGCCCTGAGGCTTGCCAAAGGCTCCCCTCATTCCGGTTTGGAGCCTGTAAGAAAGGGGTAGAGGAATGGCATACGGTAAGAGTCAGCCCCAGTAGCACAGATTGACATAAGGAAATAGTAATAGCAATAGTAGTAAAGATAAGTAGTTTTCTAGGGATCTCTCACACATCACCAGTATCATACAAGTATAGAGACACAGCTGAGATTTGAACTGGGTATAACCACAGAGATGAAAGTGTTATTTTCTTGAGTTTCTTGAGGTGCAAAAAACTCTCAACCACTTTTACTTGCAACAAGGTGCTCAACAATGCACTCTGGATTTACCCTAAGCATGTCTTTCAAAGTCAGATATGAGATTTGTCGGTACATAAATGAATTCAGAACTGCACAGCTCAGTCACAAGTAATGTCTACAGGTTTCAAAGTGCCAGCTTCACAAAGTGTAAAGAATGCACATCGGTTTGATGCAGTGTTGGTTTGTGGATGTTGCCCAACATGGTGGAGGAGAGGGAACGTAATGCGAGAGAGTAATCAATGCACAATCTAAGCTTACCTATCAGCTCCGGCACACGACAACATCTTGTTGATGCGCACGACATGGAAGGGGTGGAGACGTATCCGGATGTGGAAGGAGTCCTTGCCGCAGTGTTTGACCATGTACTTGTTGGCGCAGATGCGGCCTGCCTCTAGCGCCTCCGAGGACAGCTGCTCAAACTCGTCCGAGACCAGGTGCACGCAGAGAGGGAACTCATCCACACGGGCCTTCTTGCGGCCCAGGTCGTAGATACGCAGCTTGGGGTCTAGAGGAAGGAGGACGATATTTTCTTGAAAGGTCCATTTATTTGGGGGATTAAGTCACAGCTTGGAATTTCCACTTGCTTCTCCCACCCCCAAATTGTAGTCAATTTATCACAAGATGACCCTTTATGACCATTGAGATTGATTTGAGTGCTATTCTGATCTTTGAAGCTTCAAAGCTCCTCTGATATTGCTCTACTGGGAGCTTACCACCACCAAGGTTAAACATGACCCACCACCCCAAAACCAGGCTGAAGTCGGTAACTTCATGACCCTAAAATAGTGGAACTTCCACCCTTCAGATTTTCATGGGAGTTTTACAGCTATCACTACCCATGAGAAGCTTACTGCAGACAGAAATTTTGAGCTAACATGGATCACTTTAAAGAGCATAAAAGGCTGAAGGAGGGGAACTGTCCAACATTACAAATACCAACTTCAGCCGGGTTTTGGGAAAGTGGGTCACAAATTATTCTGATCTTGTTCGAAACTGGAAGGAATGCACGACTAATGAACAGGCCAATGGTTCAAGGAAGGCAAAGGCAGTTTTGAGATCCATATACCAGTACTGGCAATGCTGGTCTATTCCATTTATCGGCAGAGCTTGCGATTCAGAACCATCTATCAGTTTCACTGATCTTGAGAAGAAATGGTGCATCACTAGTTTAGGCAGCTAGTATTTCTAGTAGCCCTTTCTGGTGGTATTACTTTGGACTAATAGAGACGTCCCTTTCAACCCAATATTCCGTAAATCAATTCAAAAATTCCACATTTCAGTTCCTGGTGGAGTTTAATGCTGCAAACCTCTGCTCTTTTTCTTCACTTTGGACAAATTGTCTCGACTGGGTGTAAAGACTTGGGGGGGATTCAAATTTGCTAGTGTCTGCATGGATTTGACCAGATTCAAGAGGGTTTGTTGCAAAAATGATTACGAAAGGTTTCAAGAAAATGGCCACTCCCAAAGTGCTCTTCTGGAAGGTACGCTAATGTAGCTAGCTTGTTGGTTCTTTCATACATTCCAACCAAGAATTAAACAGAGCTGTAACTCTAAAACTAATCCTACCTGGGACACCACGGCAAAACCTTGACTTGGGATAAGGCTTGTTCTTACAGTAACGATAGCTGGAAAAGAAAGTTGTCATTATAGCTATGAACAACGGGCCTCTGATTTTAAAGCATGTCAACCCTTACACACTGCGTTGTGGAAAAAAAGGAGGCAAAATCGTATAACCCTGTTACACAGAAACCATACATGGCTTTACATCTTCGTATGTACTTTTGTCCACACTTTTACAAATAAGGCCAAGTAAAAGAACAAAATCAGTTAATCATCCCGTTTTTTCTAAAGTGAGGATGAGGGTCTGTTTAATTTTTTTTCCAAGATGGCTGCCAGTGTATGAATTCAAAACAGCTGCCAAGTTTTCAGTTCAAAATGACTGCCAGCCTTTTATTTCGTGTACAGTAGAGACAAAATATTCATGTTAACAATGTTGCTTTTATTTCATTGACGTGTTATTTCATGTTATTGGTCATTGGAATGGAAGCAAATTGGACCAACTCAGTGCAGCTTTCATCTGTGGCTGACCGGAAAACAAAAGGAAAAGGAAACGAAGGCAGTGCTTTGTGTGTCGGATTTCAAGGCACCCAACAGGTGCTCTGGTATAGGTTGTACCATACAAAACTGGTTCTCTCGTCACCTTGCGTGACACAAACAAGGAACCGGTGAAGTTTAAATTTGAATAACATTAATATGCATGTCACTGTACCATGTTCCACACACGTGCTGTGGGCGTACTGTACACTTACAAAGTACACGCGCAACTTATTACTAAGCAATACTGTGACAACGTGAATTATGGATCTACGGCACCGGTCCAAACTCTAAGGAATATCTAGTGTAAGTAAAATTGTCGAGTCATTCTCATTTCGGAAGATATTAGGATTCAAAGTTTGTGACAATCCTGCAGTTTGAGTTTCAGGCATTTAAGACATGCCTTGGAGTAGGGCTGTGGTGGTGACACATAAGGGACAGAGTGTAAAAGAGAGCAACTACAGCACTACGTGTCTAAAGTATTACGAGCATGAATGGTGTGGCAACAACATTGCAACAATTGCACACTAAGCCTATTTCACGCTCAGTGTTTGGTGGCGTGTTGAATACGTGATGGGTGCACACTTGGGCTTGCAAGTTTCTTTTTAAAAACCTAAAAATCTGATTACAATTTTCCACCCCATGAAAAGTAACAAATTAAGTAACTCGTCGTAATATGATGACTGATAGCATTATAGTAATATTAGTATTGAATGATCCTACCATCTTGCTGGTCGTCGCCCCATCTTGCCTGTTTTGAGGCTGAAATTGCAACAAATGAATGTACCCGTTAAACACCGAACGAAATCAAAATATTCAATAACTGTTTCTCACTCTAAAGTTAGTGATGATCACGACTAATTTTGTTGTGAAATAACGATGACGAAGGATTTTAGCAGTAACCTTTCGAAGGCTCTCACCTTTTTGTCAATCAAGGGCAAAAGAGGCCGATAGAGGGCGTCAATTAAAGTAGCTACAAATTGCTTGCTCATGTAAAACGTCTGCAGTGCTTTTCGTTCACATTCAGCTCTGAACTTCATGAACTTTAGAAATATCGCTCGTAATAATCTTCTTATTTTATCTGAATCACGTTATGTTTATTTCTTTGAATATTCCTTGTGGAAATATTTATAATGAACATTCTAGTGGGCAGACTGAAACATGTTTAGTGATTACTAAAAATAGACAACAGAGGGCGCGGCGCCAAATACGCGCACACCATCGTCACCAGGGCCACCTGTCCACCGTCGTGATCGTATCACTTGTACCAGATGTTGTTTGCATTTTGCTTGCCGATTGCGCGATCATCAACTTGGACTAAACTTCATATTTCTCAGCATGCATGACATGTCATTGCTTTGGTTTGTGATTTGAGCTTACTTATTAAGTAAAACAAAACTACAGGCAGAATGGCGACCAGGGATCCCTTGCTCAGCAATCTGAAAGGTAAGAGTAATTTAAACAATTGCCAGTCATAACGCCGTACTCGCTCGTCCACCCCACCTCTAACGGGATCAGGTCAACTCGGACCCAAACCAACTCGGACCCATGCCAACTCGGACCCTGGACCAACTCAGACCCACACCAACTCGGACCCACGACCATCTCGGACGTACAACCAACTCGGACCCACGCCAACTCGGACCCACGCCGTTTCGGACCCACCTCGAGTCAACTCGGACCCACTGAGTCTTATGGTTGCATTACACCAAATACACGCCCGTAGACCGAAATAGCGCTGACTCTTGAACCTCGGGAAGAGGTTGGCCTTCATTTTTTTGTAGGAAATTCAAGATTATGGACAGATCGATCAC